TAAGGTTACTTCTGGTAGGTGTCCCTCATCTTCCTCCAGGAAGGGTCTGCTGGCCTTTGCAATTGTCTGGAAGACATGCAGGATAAGTGGATTCACTCCGTAATGTCCAAGGATTACCAGATGGAACTTTTATCCTACCCTCCCCAATTTCCTATAACATGCCTACAATATGTCTATAATCTTCCCTCCTTTCCTCAGTGAAAAGAGGCTCTGCAGAGGACCTTGCATCAATTGCTGGCAACAGGAGTCATCATGCCTGTCCCTCAGGAGAAGGGGTTCCAAGGATTTTACTCAAATCTGTTCACGGCTCTGAAACCATACAGAGGAGTGCCTCCCATTAAAGGAGAACTATGGGGTCAGTGTTTTTCCCCATAGTTCTCCTTGGGGTAATGGGAGGACACAAACTAGCGTCCTCCCGTCACCCTAAGCTCAGTATACCGCGAGCTACAGCTCGCGGTATACTGAGACGCCGCACCTGGAGCGGATCCCGACTTAGATGACGGGATCCGCCCAGCTGCGTGAGTGACAGCTGGCTCTGCCTATCTAGAGGCAGAGCCAGCTGTACCCGCCCCCTCCCCCGTCCGTTCCGCCAGTCAGCGCTGGCAGATCGGAGCGGGGAGAGGGGAATCCAGCCCCAACCCCTGTCACGGCAGAGAGCCGTGACAGGATCGAGAGGTGAGGGAACCCGGTATGTTTTCCCTCACCTCCTGATCTACTGAGCCGACCTGTGACAGTCTCATTGTCACAGGTCGGCTTAGAACTATGACGTGAGTGGAAATCACTCATGTCATAGTTCTCCTTTAAGGACTTAAAGTCTCAACAAGTTTACGTGGGTCCATAAGTTCTGGATGGAGTTGGCATGGTCAGTCATTGCCTCTCTTCAGCTTCAGTCATTGCTTTGGTGGACATCAAGGATGCCTACCTGCATGTGTCAATCTTCCCACCATATCAACGCCTTTTGCGGTTTGCCTTGGAGAAAACACACTTTCAATTTGTAGCACTTCCCTTCAGCCTTATCACAGCTACACGGTTATTCACAAAGGTGGTAGCCCCTGATTGTGCTCTTGATTCTCAGGGTGTCCATATTGTGGAATACTTGGACAACCTGTTACTGAAGGCCCCGGTCCGAGTGGACCCTGAGGCCAGATATCCACAGGACAATTAAAATGCTGCAGCAGTTTGAGTGGGTACTCGATCTTCAGAAGTCGACACTGGATCCCACTCACTGTCTAGAATATCTGGGTTTTCCCCTGGACATGAACAAGGTGTTTCTCCCCTTGAGAAAATTCTATCTTTGAATTTTCAGGAGTGATTCATACAAGGCAAAGACCAGCCCTCAGTGAGATTCTACATAAGGGTCCTAGGTCTGATGGTGGTCTCTTTTGAGGTGGTACTTTATGCTCAGTTCCAC